TGGTGCTCAATGAACACTTGTTGATAAACAAATACACTTTTTATTCGTGGAAATTCTATTTTTAAAATCTATTTACTCAGCTTGGTGATCTCTTATTTTTTTGTCAGATTTCTTCCTTTTATTTTGCTAAGCCATAACATCGTATTTTAGACTCTGTATCCAACAATTCCAAATTTGAATATTTTACAGTTTGGGTTCTGTTGTTTGTTGCTTCTGTTAACCCTTGTTCAAAGTAGCTCGTTTCCTCATGTGTTTTTAATTTGCTTGGGTTTTATTTGTGAAAATTCTTTGCAGCCTGAAATGAAGGAATAGTCCTCCAAAAAGGAGGTTGTGTGGGCTTTGCTACGTGCCTGAGAACCCTAAATCTACTTTAAACAACAATCCTTAATCTGTGTCTCTTAGAATCATGAAAATAATATAAATTCAGACAAGCCCTGTCTTCCCTATTCTTAAGAGGAAATATTTCTTTTCTTTAATCTTCTTCCAGTACCACAACCAACATAGTCATCTGCTTCTGAGGGATGAGTTTTCTTTTCCATGGATGAGGTAAGATGAGAACAATGTGAGCTCTCTGGTGTCTCTTCTTATAAAAAATCAAATTATTTTCAGATCAGGGCCCCCGTCTTACAACTTTATTTAAACTTAATTACTTCCTCATAAGCCCCATCTCCAAATACAGCCACACCTTCCATTGTGTTGCAAATTTTATGTTCTCATTTAGAAGGCAAACTCTATGAGATCAATTATTGGTGTGTGTTTCGTTCATTGCAGTAAACCCAATCACTAGAAGAGTGTCACACAGCAATTGCTCAATGACTACGTAAATAAAGTTTGAAACATAATGGAAAGTTAGGGATTCAACATATGGATTGAGTGTGGGAGAAACACATTTAGTCTATTTACCAGCAGGTTCTCTTATTCCTCTTTTTTCCAATCCTCAGATGATTTTCATTAGTTTTTTTAAAGGCTCATTAGATTATTTCAAAAGAATTTTCATTTCATTAAGTATTTTTAGAAGTCATATAGCAGAGACAAGTTTCAAAGTTTCTAGTTTTCCATATTGCCAGAAAAATACATCTCTCCTCTATGTATAATATTGCAATAGGCAATTCTATACAATCTCATATACATGCTTCAAATAACACATCAAATGTGTATATCCAGCCTTGACTTCTCTCCTGAGATTGAGACATAGCCAACTGCCACTCAGTATCTTTACCTGGAAGTTTTTAGAATATTGAAAATCGTGTGTCTCAATCAGAACACAGAGTTCTCCTGTCAAATTTGTTCTTCCCTTGGCTATATTAAATAAATAACTATCATGATGAATCACTCAATTGCTCAAGACAAAAAACTTAGACGTCAACCTTGATTCCTCTTTTTCCTTTCCTTTTACATGCAGTCTAAGAACAAGCCCTGCCTTCCCTATTTTTGACATAGGCCCTCAATTAGCTCCCTTCCCACCGCCTCCTTTCCCATCTTTGGCTATGCTGCTATCATGTCTCAGCTGGTTATTGCCATCGCCTGCTAACCAAGCATCCTGCTTCTACACTCACCTCCCTCCAACCGGGCTCCAGGAAGCAGTTAAAGCAATCCTTTCAAGATGTATATCACACTGCATCTCATTAACTTAAAAAAAAGTATCCGTTTCCCATGGTACTCAGAATGAAATCTAAACTTACCATCACCTACAAGGCCTTAAAATTTCCAACTGTTGCCCACCTCTCTGGGTTCATCATGCACACGCTCCCTTGGACTCACTACACTACAGGGGACACTCTGGTCCTCCTTCTGTTTCTCAAAGATACTTATGTCTTTCCTATTTCAGAACTCTTATACTTGCTGTTTTCTCTGCAGGAATATACTTCCCTACGATCTTTGCTTCGTTGAAGTCTCAGCTCAAATAGGATCTCTATGAAAAGACCTCCTCTAACCACCTCTAAATCTAAATATTACCCCTTTGCTCCTCCAGATTCACCTCTACCTTTCTTCACTCTACTCTGCCCCTTAGAAAGCTGACCTTCATGGGATACATAAACCGGGCCTCCTTACTTTCTCTTTCTGTTGGGTGATGCCAATGGGAAGCAATGGCAGGAAACAGAAGCAGCAGGAAGAAAGATCTAGGCATCCATTTCTCTGGCTTCTCCCATGCTGAGTTACTAAAGTTTCTAGTAATCTCTTCTATAGCCATGGATCCCACAAGGTTCTAATGGCCCCTTCTCTCGTCCCTTCAGATGTAGGTATAACCGTCGTTTCCACTTCGGGGTTTGGTGTGTTTCACCATCTCTTGTTGGTTTCCTTTTATTGAACTCTCTTTCACTTTAAGTGTGCTGTCCATTTTCTGCTGTATTTGTTTTCTAGGTATGCCATACAAAAATACCACAAACCGGGTGTCTTATACAATTAAAATTTGTTGGGCACAGTGGCTCACACCTAAAAACTCAGTTCTTTGGGAGGTGAAGTTGAGAGGCTTGCCTGAGTCCAGGGGCTTAAGACCAGCCTGGACAACTTGGTGAGACCTCATCTCTACAATAAATCAAAAAATTAGCTGGGCGTGGTGGTACCCACCTGTAATTCCAGCTACTTGGGAAGCTTAGGTGAAAGGATCGCCTGAGTCCAGCGGGTGAGGCTGCAGTAGATATGAGTGTGCCACTGCACTCAAACCTGGGCAACACAGTGAGACTCTTACTCAAAAAAATAAAATAAAACAATAAAAATTTATTGTCTCATGGTTCTGGAGACTAGCCCTTCTGAGGGCCGTAAGGCAGAATCTGTTCTATGCCTCTCTCTAGCCTCTGGTGGAGTGCTGGCAATCACTGACATCCCTTGGTTTATAGAAGTATCACCAACCTCTGCCTTCATCTCCACATGACATACTCCTAAATCTCTCCATTTTTTTTTTTTTTT